TGCAGAGCCTTCCAACTCGGATGCACTGCAGTGAGGTGGCACTTAAGTCCCCCTGGTGTCGCAGCCCATTGCATGCAGATCGGACAGTGATGCTCAAGGTATGCTTGCACCTGCTTGTTTAGGGGCAGGTCAAACCATCTGCCCCGGGCCAGCGCATCCCGAACCTCCGGCCAGGCATGCAGCGGTGTATTCGGTGCACATGGAGGGGAGTGCGCCTCAGAGACCTCGTAGGTGCAGCCAGACGAAGCAGCCTGGCCTAGCTGACTGGAATCGGTAGGACAGGATCCCTGTGCAGCAGGAGCCGATGGTGGCGGTTCCAAAGCTGCATCTGTCTAGTTGGACTCGGCAGATCCTCAGGAGCCGCAGGAGGAGCCGTGCCTGGGTCATGCATTTCTGCAGTCGGCAGCTGGTCCCGGAGAACCTTGCAGCGATTCTTCTTTATGTGTTTTATCAAATTATCCCACTGCCTGAATCGATGTCCACAATGGCGGCAAGTAGGTAAGCCGCCTGTACCATGCGCGAAACGATCAAAAGGCTGAGTATCACACTGTGGAGTGCGCTTGCCATGTTTCTTCGCCTCGTGTGATCGTAGTAGACGGAAGGAAGCAAAGCTCTGACCGCACTCCACACATGTATGAGGTAGCAGCCCCACCTCCGGTACATCGGGAGTAGTCCATTGCTTGCCCCTCTCCACCTGAAGCATGGCCGCCTGTTCTCGGACATCTTCAATAGCCGTGTCCTGGACAAAGTCAGAGTGGTCCTGAAGGAGACACAGCCTTTTATGCAGAGCAGTGGCCTCTTTCGTGAGGCTTTCCAACGCCGTAGGCACCTGCAGACGCTGATGCACGTGCATGGTGGACTCCTGTTGCAGGTGGGCATACGAGTGTGCCATAGCACGGGCGTGCTTAATGACAAGGGCCTGTGCTCTCCCAATGTCGCGAGGACTGAGCCTGACCGCAGCCAGTCCGTAGAGTAACGTAGGCAATACAGTCGACTTCCAGAGAGAGACGCGGGCAGCCAACTGAAGCTGCCTGGGTGAACACAGAATCTTCCGCAAACGCTGCCAGGCAGCGTTAGCCGCCTGAATGCGATGCAGGGCCGTATGGCTCGCCATGGCATGGTACGAGAT